GTTCTGATTCACAATCATTACTGTTTCTGTTTAACAGATTATAATCAATACATTAATGTCAGAAACACGCAGCGACTCGTCGACTGTTGGCTTTATTTAACGACTGCTATCTTTAGTTGTAGTCTGAGTTTCTACACTGTGTTAATAAAACAGTTGTGTTCACAGATCACACAGACTTTATCAGTGAGGATCAGGGAATTTAAAGCCAGCAGCCTTAAACTGAGTGAGCAACACATTAACTCCCACTTAACCAAACCAGTGAGACCTCTGAAAGTCCCTGTTCCTCCCCGAGGCTCCACGAGTCACTGTCCTGTCAACAGCTGCAATTACCACCGTCCTGTGAGCAGGAAACCTCTTTAAATAGACTTAATTACAGTTTGTTACCGAGTGCACGAGCCTTAAATTACGCTCCAATAATGGAGAAATAAAAAGATAAAAACGTATAATAGTTATTTAAATAACGTTTTAATGTCTTGTGATTAATAAAACTTATTTTCATGGGTCTCATTTCTAAGTTAGCGTGATTATATCAGCATCATTTGGTTTAAATTACGACCTCCACAGCTGCCTACACGACAGGACACTAAAGCTTCTCTGATTAATCTCCAAACTAACTCCTACAGCTTCATCTTCCTGATGAAAACACCGATATCAATGATCAATGTATATAAATAATTATTAATTATATTTGTATTTGTGTGACAGCAACCGTTGTGTGATTATATAATGTGATAATTATTATTAAGATACATAAAAATACAAACCAAAGTGATATTGATCTATAACTGGGAACATTAAAGTCAAATATAATAATAACAATTGTTTTAATTATTGATTAATCGTCTAAACATCAGAAAACAGCGGCCGTTATAAATTCTTACAACAGTCTAAAATCTAAATATATTTAATCCTCTGGAACAGAAACAAATTCTAAAATATGAAGAAGCATCAAATGTTTTTATAGGTAATGATCAGGTATTGATCAGGTATTGATCAGATGGAGCCCCCACACTATGGAAGTCACCGCCTAAACGAACTCACACACAAAGTCTCTTGTTTCTATTAAAACTTTTCTTTTAGTCCAAGTTCTTTAGTTCTTTATTGTTTTATTACCTTTGTGTTTCTCTTTAATCTGCCTGGTTCTTATTTTGTGGGTTAGTGTCACTCGCTGCGTCGGGTCATATAATAATACACTATTATTATTGTTATTATTATTATTATTATTATTATTATTATTGTGATTATTAGAGACTTTCTTTACGCAGTTGTCCCTATTTCGTGATGCGTTCTGTACAACTGAAGAGGATTTAAAAAGATAATAATTAAGGTTGAATTATGGCTTTATTATTGTTGAATGTTGAGGTTTGTATTATTTTATTATTTTACCTTTTATTCCAGAACTGAGTTATTTAAATCAGCAAAAAGAGTATTAAACTGTCTCCCCTGAGACCTCTGACTCAATGTTTCTTTGTCTCTATTTCTTTATATGTATTTTTATCTGTATGTGCTGATATTGTTTTAGAGGAAGTACAGCCTCTCTGCGTATTATTTGATTCCTTCCTTTTCTTCTCTTCTCAACCAAAGTAAATAAAACTGTTCCTCCGAGCTCACAGTCCAGCTTCCAGATCTTTACTACAAACATTCTTCATCATCGTTTTAAGAAATCCACCCAGCGACTGCCGGCTGGTCTAACTGGTGCACACGCCCTCTCGTATGAGTCAGAGAAAACCTCAGATTTATCCACTACACCGCCCCCGGAGGCACGAGAGCCTCCCTGCCAGACAATGGCAGGAATGTAGAGAAAGACTGGCTCTGTGTGTCTAGCACAGTTTAACACACCCCGCAGCCAGAGAGCAAGATACATAGTTAATCTCTGCAAGAGAACTGAGTGTAACATCCAGCTGAGACAGAAAGGAGACTTTAAACGAGAGCTGAGCGATATGGTGAAGTAATAGGTCACTCTGCGATAGGTTATAGTTGTCCATCCTGTCCAAACTCTAAACTCACTGTAAGTAAGTTCAGAAAACTCCAAATTTAAAGTCTCCATTTCATTTTTAATGATTAATATTAATTAATTAAAGTCAAACTCTTTTGTTTTTTAATAAACTAATAATAATTCATGACAATTTACTTTTCTTCTTTAGAAAAACTTTTGGAAACAAAACAAAGCTGTATTTTTTTTCAACTATTTAATTTTCAACCACCCGAATAATGAAAAATCTGGTTCCCAGCTCGCTCTGAACAATTTTGTTGTTGTTTGTTGTTTTAAAACTTAAATAATTAATAATTAAAGAAAAGTTAATTATCTCAACACAAGATTATAGGTTTGTTTGTTTTAAAAAAAGTTTGAGTTTGACTTAAAACTTAAACATTTAGTGAAACAACACATCTGATTTACGATTTTAATAGATTTTCTCTTCTTAAAATAAAAAGACACCATATGTTTGGCGATGTGAAACACTGCCGCCTCCTGCTCATATAGGACACAGTGTGAAAGTGACTACACGTTGTAGATGCACTGAAATGTGAAAAGTTACACTAAGTCAAATAAATGACAAACGTAGGACCCTGAGCGAGGTTTTATCCTCCATCTCCTCTCTAATGTCTCGGTGGGTGGAGGTTTGTTCGCTCTCTCTGGTTTAACTGGAAATCACATTAGTGGTTAAGACATTACAGAGCTTCCTGACGGAGATATCAGTCCACTCCTTTAAACTCTCTCTGCTCTCTTTCTTTAGTTTTATTCTACATACTGACCTTTCTGCCCTCAAACACTCAGGTAAAGCTCTCTAAAGTGTTATATTGTCTAAGTCTGACATTTGGGCTCTACCTCCAGACATATGCACAAATTGTATGCTAAAAAAAAGTATAATTTCCGCATTAAAATCCTTTAAAAAAACGTATTTAATTAATAATTAAAAATCCCCATAATCTATAAAATATGTCTCCTTCACTGTAAAGTGTCTGTGCACTGGTGTGTCCCACTGTATGGGCTGCATACCATTTCTGACTGCAGGGGGACTTTAACAGGAGACTATGAACTTAGGATGAGTGCGTATGATGGTGAACTTTTAGTTCACTTGCACATTTTTCTCTCATTGCTTCAGATTCGTCTCGTGAATATTTAAGAACGGGATTGAACGAGACCGGTGGAGAAGCTGCCCGGCCTGATCTGTCTGGAGTGAACCAGACAAAGACGGAGGAGGACGGGACAGTGCAGGGTGGAGTTTGGAATGCAGCTGGCAGCAGGCAGACAGGTGTGGCAGGTGATGAAGGGTATCAGGTAAAAAAAAACTACTGATAGAGAAACATGTGAATCAAAACTTGCTGAGCCACCAAATTGAATGTTTGAAATCGAGCCAACATTTAAGTAGAGTCACTAAACATGTTTTCTACTGAGGAAAACAGGAAACTCCTCTAATAGGGTTGATTACACTGATGTTACCTCAGTGCTGATAGTGCTGACTAAACCTAAACATTAAAGGAAAACTACTAATCTGCAAAAATGTTCATGAAAGTTTTGTTTTTTCTTGATGGTTTTGGGGCCAAAATTATGGGTTGTTTGTAATCAGAGGCTCTCTGTCCCCCCCTCGTTCAGTCGTAGTGTCTTTCAGAGGCTGTAGCGGGGGTTCGTTTTAAAGCTAGCA